CCTACTTTTTAGTATGTATTCCCAAAAGTATTTGCTTATCTGCCTTAATACACATATGACTTCGAGTGACATGCCATACTTAATTCATTGGGTTTAATATGATGTGGGCACACCCTTTGCAGCTATAACAGCTTTAACTCTTCTGGGAAGGCTTTCCACCAGGTTGGCACACTGATTTCGAATAAGGGCTGGCTCATAGTCTCCGCTGTAATTCATTCCAAAGGTGTTCTGTTGGGTAGAGGTCATTTTGTCATGTTTGAAGAGGAAAGGGCCAACTCAGTCCAGCGGGCCGTGCTTTACAGCACTGCATCTGACCCCTTGCGTTTAGTTATGTAAGGCTTGGATGCAGCTGCTCAGCCAGGGAAACACATTCCAAGAAGCTCTCTAAGCGCTGTTCATGAGCTAATATGACGACCACGTGAAGTTTGGGGCATCTGTAGCAGTTGGTGACCACTGTGTGCTTCCCAGTTGTGTCAACTTTGTTATAATATCACTAATAGTTGACTGTGGATATTTAGTAGTGTTGCACAGGTGGCATCCTATCATGGTACTGTACTAAATTCACTCCTGAGACCCATTCTTTCACAAATGTTTATAGAAGCAGTCTGCATGCCTAGATGCTTGATTTTATATACCTGTGACCATGGAAGTGATTGAAACACCTGAATTAGATGATTTGGACGAATTAGTTAATACTTTTGCCAATATAATGCACTTCATTATGGATAATGACACTATTATACTGTAAGATTTCTTTTCTTCACAGCTTTGTACTTTCTGTTTTTTGTGTTTCACAGTAGCACCACACTATAATAGAGACAGAAACAGTCCCACAATGCCATATTAATGGTTTCAGTAGTTAAGTGATCCACTAGCAAAAGTAATATTTTTATTTTATGATTGTCTGAGCAGTGGGGATAACACCTGTGCAGCAAATTCTCCTTGATGATGCAGGTGGAATTTGATTTATTCTGTGCAATAGATGGAAGATGTGCATTTATCACTAGGATTAGGAAAGCGCTGAGAGTCATTCTTAAATAAATGGACATTTCAGAATGTATTTTTTTAAGTCACAAGGACATCTAGTTTCATAGAGGACATTCCTGATTGATGAGTAGGACACCTTTAATCCAAAGGTATCACTGTCCTTCATGCTAAAGAGGCACTTTCTTCCTTTTGTGTTTCAGAAAAACTAACATTGATTGAACATGTGTGTGCGTGTCTGTGTGTGTAGGTGTGTTCAGGCAAGGTATGGTTCAGGCATCGTTTTGTGCCAGCAGAGGATTTGAACATTTCAAGCAACCCCAGCAGTAACCTTCAGCACAAATCAATATAATATTTAAGAAGTTGTCAAACCCAAGCTGATTAATGATCATGTTTTTATAAATAATAACCCATTATACCCATTTTAGCATTACAATATTTTAACCACCACGAGAAGGTCAGAGCAAACCTAAGTTTGGCACAGGCTAAGGCACAGACAGGGTCTGTACTGTAAAAGAAAGTGAGCTGTACATAAGCCATACAAAGGGCACTTAGTACAGAGTGGATGCCACTTGGGAATCTTTGAGCCTGGCCATTTTCCTCTGGTTTAACAGCTTCAGTTCTCCATAACCCCACCATCCTGAACCCATGAAACACAGAGAAAATATGTCAATTTGACATAAAGCACCGCTTAGTGCTTGTTAGAAATGCTATACAAAAGTGACTACAGTGTTTAATTCAAATTATTTCTATAAAATATTTATGCTTTTATAAAAACTATTCAACCTGTATTCACAAGCTCGATCAGCAGATCAAACCTGCTTATGTTTCTTTTCTGTGTTTCATTTTTTTTCATATTCATTGTCATTTTTTGACCTTTGACTTCTCTTAACTTCTTTGTTCGGAAGTCTTGCTTATCAGTCTTTGAATACAAGCCATCCGCTAATTCTTCCATCTGTTAACATGTGACGCACTAATGCTTCTGGGAAATGCTGCTTGTGAAAAATGTCTAAAAGCAAAATATTAACTGAGCAACACAACAACATGCAGCTTTGTGATTACAGGGAATAATTCATTTAAATGGGAAAATTAATTAACACAGTGTGTGTTCGCGTAGGTGTGTGCGGTGTTATCCTCATCATGACAGCAATGATTTTTAAAGTCCTCATCAAAAGTTTCAGAAAAAAGCAGTCTGACCACAGAGAGTGACAGCTACAGATATCCACGCGGCTCAAATACCTCTTGAAGCCATGTCTTTGTGCGAGGGCACAACAGCTGTATCCGTGCGTTTCATTTTAATTCTTCTCCTCTGAATGCAGGAGGTGAGGATTCTTTTGGGGGAACTCTGCACATATGCAACTTGACATCAACAACAGGGGCATATTTTGAGGCAGATGCTGCGTTCAATAATTCACATATTTATTCAGAGGCAGCACACAGGGTTTGATGAAAACTTTCTCCTTGTTTCTTCTTGGAATGCATAAATATGCAAACTGTTAAGTAAAACTTCTATTCCCTGTGTACTCACCGTGGCTGCTATATTGACTAGTTAAGTGCATTGCCAGTTTCACCCCATCATCTATGGGGAATTCAACTTTTTTTTTCCCTTTAACATTTGTTTTTGTTCCAGTATCCTGAGGGTGCCTGGTGAGTCTTGCACTTCTGAGCGTTTGTTCCAGTCCATCACAATGTTGTACAGCATCCTACGAGTTTAAACCGAACTCTGGAAGCTTGATTTACATTTGTAAATGGTGCATTTGTTACATTTTACCAAAAGATAGGCTTAACTACCATGAAGTCATCCTTGAATTTTAAATGCATTTTGAAGCCAAAATCCCTGAATCTTCTTCACCATTGCCATCTTGATTTTTAACAAGAGGTTACTATTATCAGTCATCAGCCTCTGCTACCGAACTTGGTTAGCAAGATACACCCATATGGATGCATCTTACAGACACGGATGCCTGCTAATTAGTGCTAAGTAGCAAACTACTACAACAAAAAATTCACTCAGCAAAACAGAAGCACAGAATTCCCGGCGAGTGTACATCACAACAGGCCATATTATTGAAATGCTAACGAGTAGATTCTATAAGTGCAAATGAGTGAGAAATTAGTGAAGATAAATGTAACTGGATGTAAATGTCTGTACCCACAGATCATATTGTACCTTTTTCATTTTTTATCTGCAATTTTCACTCATTTTAGTTGTATAATTTCCTAAATGAGTGATGTTTACGATAAACACAAACTTTGCCTAAACAAAATCACATAAGGCAAAGGTATATATATACAGATGTATATCTAAATGAAAAGCTTCTGTAGAATCAGTATCAGTTTTACTTGTTTAGTGATGGGGCTAGAAAAAACAAAGTGCTCACATATGAGATAACTCTTAGTGACAGTCAGGCGAGAAGAGAAAAAGCAGTAAAACCACCAACATAACTAGGCTCATGGAGGGCAGCCACCTGCTTTGACCCTTCGATGTGAGGGAAAGGCAAACAGAGAAAAGAAGACCTGACAGTTTGCAGGTTTGTGGTGCCAGCAATTGCAACAATGTTGAGAACAGAGAAGGAAAAAAATGCTATTATATGTGGATATAAAATATCCTGTTCATAGCATGATAATAATATAAATATCCTGTACTATCATGGAGAAATAACTGAAAAGTAACACTTACTTTTCCTGTTGAAAGCACTGACACCGGTCAAAATAAAATAAAAACTAATAGGATGTTCACGACTGCTGCCGTGTGCCGTGTTTGAACTTCTGATATCATGAACTCTCTGCTGTTTGGTTTCACTCTATTTGAAAAAAAAGAAGGTTAAAAAAGGAAAGAAAGAAACTTCTACAAAGACAGCCCAATGACTTTGAAGTCACAGTGAGGTACTTTGTTTTTTGAGGACGTTACATAGTATACTGAGGTGACAGTGAGGTAATTTTAGGTGTCGTGTAGTCATGGTTGACTTTGTGTAGCCGTCCGCCTGTGAGTTTGTGTGTGTGTGTGTGTTTGACACCACAACACAAAAGCTGAGCAGCTCTGTGGCCTTGAGAGCATTTACTGTTGTTTCCTGTCAAAAACTTGACAGGTCACTCCACTCTTTCCCGCTTATAATAGAAGAGAACAAATTAGAATATATGAAAAAAAAAAACAAGAAACTGGAGGGAAAGGTGTCCTTTTTCTATTATTATTTAATACTATGGAGAAACAAATCATTGTTGTCCCTCACTAGCATGGAATGCTTCTCATACACAGTAACTTTGTCATCTTATATTTAAGACTTTTTTTCTTCTCTTTTTATTCACCCCTTTTCTTTTAGACCACCAGTTTTCTGTCAGAGGCCCAGTTTTCTTCAGAGTCACCAGAAACCCTGGACCCACTTTTCAAGTTCCATGAGACCATTGCTAAGGTAGGACCATGTAATTCTAATTCTAGCAAGAATTGCGACTGTTATGACAACTTTACCATGTAAGGCAGGATCTCTTGATTTGGGACATCTGTGCTACATATGGTATTTTCTACGCTGTGAATTTTGACAAAATTAGGAGACAAATGTAAAGAAAATGAAGTTCTTCCAGTTGGAAAAAAAAATGAAAAAGCATATACGTTCATGGTTTATCCTGACTTGGGAAGGGCTTGGTTAGGAATGTCGGTAAACAGAGCATAAAATCTGAAAGGTAGAACCCTATGTAAAGGAGTGTATAGTTTGATATCACTGAGTGCACTGCTGAAGAAAGCCCATGCCATAAATGTGGTTTAAACTTTCTTGTCCCAAATGAGATTATCTCCTCCATCAGAAATTGCTAAAATACTACACTGTAAGCATGTCTGTGTTGAATGAACCAGGGATAACAACTTTTACTCAATGTCTAAGCGTTATAGAAAAATAGTTTGCCAAAATCACAAACGTTACCTTGATGGCTGCTGGACAACCTTGGTAAATATCCCACTGATGGCATTTTCAGATATTCTAGAAAAGTTTGCAAGTTTATGTACGCAAATTTCAATATTATCCTTTAATCAAATAGAGCCAAAACAAAAGGCAACAAAACAATCTCACTTGTAAGAGGAGAGAAAACAGACTCAAATTGTAGACATATACCAAGTGACAGACAATAAGCGAGCTGCACCACAGGGTTGTAATGCTGGCTGCTGATGCCCGTGACAGTCCAGACAAGCCAGTTCACCATGCAACAAATGAGACATCCTTCATGCGTAAATACATGTTGTGTGGCTTTCTGTTCACAAGATTTTCCCAATCAAAATAGTTGTCAGTCAAATATCATTTTATTAACAAATACACAAACATTCTTACTATTATTACTGCAATAACCTTATCAGTATTCCTTGCTTTGTAAGGAAGGTTTAATTGGATTGGACAACTTTTGCAGATGGAAAGAACAAACTGGGTCATTTTGCAAAAATTTGTTATTTATGATAATGTAAATTAATGTTAAATTTGATAATCCAGCTACACATTTGTTTTTCACTTGTCTAGTTCATTGTTGTGGTGTAGGCTAAAGCCTATCCCAGGCCGTCCTCAAGGTGCAACAGGTTGAGAGGCGGGATAGACCCTGGACATGGTGCCAGTCTGTTGGAGGACTAACTCATTTTGATAACTAGCCCATTCTACTTTAAAGTCTTTAGCGTTGCATTACAGAATCTGATACCTGCTATGCTTCAAAACGGGTGGTGCATCATACATGCAGGACAGGGGTGTCCAAACTGCGGCCCGCGGGCCAACTGCGGCCCGTGATCCATTTTTAATTGGCCCGCAAGTAATTTTATAAATAGAACAGAATATGGCCCACACTTCAACTTTTGCTTGAGTGTATTGCACTTCTTAGTTTTAAGAAGGGGGAGCTACTGTTGATCAAGGCAGTTGCTACACCAAAAAGGACAATCAAAGAAGAAATTTACCACAAGTTACTAAACATGGCAGAACCAAAGAAGCGAAAGGTAGAAAGTGAGTGCAGAAAATTTCAGACACGGTGGGAGAGTGAATATTTCTTCAAAGAATTCAAGGGGAAGTGTGTCTGTTTGATCTGCACTGAAACTGTGGCAGTTATGAAAGAGTATAATGTACGACGTCATTATGAAACCAAATATTAGGCCTATGCATCCTACACTGGTGCTGAGCGAGAGCAGAAATTAAAGCAAAGGGTAGCTCTCCTGCGGGGTCAGCAACAGTATTTTTTTTCATGCTCAAAAGGTCCAGGAAAAGGCTCCAATAGCCAGCTATGAGGTCGCCCAACTCATCGCAACACATGGCAAGCCTTTTTCAGATGGAGACCTCATAAAACACGGCCTCGCTAAAGTCACCGAAATAATGTGCCCGGGAAAAGTGCAGGACTTCAACAACGTCAGCATGTCAAGAAATACAGTTGTACGCATTGAAGACTCGTCAGCCAACATTAAACTGCAACTGTCTGATAAAGCTGTGCTTTTGATTTTTACTCCATCGCGTGCGATGAGAGCACCGATGCCACAGACACCGCACAGCTGCTAATTTTTTGCGGAGAGTGGACAGTACCCGTGTGTTAATGTGCACATACACACATACTTCAAATATCAATAATGCGCATCAATTCTGTCACTACCCTGCTTTTGCGCACCACTTTCTTATATGCGTTTTTCTTGTTAACACACAGAGTACACACCGCTGTGCACAGCGCACGCACACGCAAAGTCAGCTGATCTCATCTGATGCAGATTTGCTCCTTGATCAAGTGACATTTGTCCGGATTTTTGGCACGAGTGGCGATCAGCACCGCAGCTAGATGGCCCGATTTACATACCCAGCGCAGCTGATACTCACCAGAATAATTTACTAAAATTATATGCACTCTTGTTATTAAGTCCAGTTCAGTGTGTTAATGTTGATAATCGTTTCAAACAAACGTTAATAGTGTTGCTAAGCCTAATAACTTAAATAACAAACTTGAAACGTACCCGTCCCATTTTCCCCTTTATTGTTTTTCTCTGTGCTGTAAATCTTCTGTCTAAGAAGAAATCTGAGGCTGTTCTGAGAATGAGCTACCAAAGCTTTTTTCTGAATAAATCAATAAAGATCCATTTATGGAAAGCTGTGATGAAGGCAGTTTTGTCTTTAATTATATTCAACAATATAACATATTCGACCACTTTTAAGTGATTTTTCTAACTTTAATACACTAAAGTTAAGGTTACATACCTAATTTCTAGTAAGTGGCCCAGCCCCTCCTATATTTTTATGTATGTGGCCTGCAGTGAAAAAAGTTTGGACACCCCAGATGCAGGAACACTGGTACCATGCTTTTGCTGTTGCTAGGCAGCTGCAAAGCCAGCTGCTGTCAGTCACTTAGCTGGTGTAGCAAATGAAATTAGCAGGGTCATTAGCTAAGTAAAGCATAAAAAGTCACAATCCATTTTAGCTGCAACAGTCAATGCCCAGAATCTATTGATATTTACTGGAGATGAGCAGGCTTTGCAGGAACAATCACTTTATGTTCAGTTCCTCAGTACAGCAGAAGCCCTGACTCTGAAAAAAAAAAAGCAAAAGCAGAGATGTGTTTTCACATCTTTGAAAATATGCACATTCAGGGCAGCTTGCCAGAAAACTTGTAAGGTGTTTCAGGGAAATAAAAAAGGCAACTTGAGGTTAAATGCAGTGCATGTTTATCCACAGCCATCCCTTGTGATTGCAGCCTTCCTTCTTGTTCTTTTGCTATAGTTGTGACATATTTTTCCTCTACAATGACACCTCTGTAAAAGTCAGAATAAATTCACACTGCTTATATAAGATGTTGCCAAATTAGGATTTCCATCTCAGCTAACAGGACCTTTTTAAAATAGCCCTTGCTGTTAGGAGGAACACTCTCATTGCTTATAAATGCCACCAGCTTACCATAGCTATCACCACTGTGGTAAGCTGTCACAGCATACAAATTGCATAAGGCACAGTGACATTTTCATTATCTTTTATGGAGCCCAGCTCTAAATGAAGACACTTCATTTTGTTATGTCCCTACCTTGGCACCTCATATGTGAGAAATTACACTTAGTTTACAAGTACCACCCTGGCAGAACTGTAGTAGCTTGTCCTACTCCTGTGTAGGTTTGTTCTCTGTAAACAAAAGACATTTTTATTCTTTGATGCAGAGAGTGGAGATGGAACCAGATAGAAGCAGACAAATAACTGAAATCACTGGCATTTATATAGGTTGATTATTTTATGATTATTTGTCTTGACTGTGTTTATTGTCACAGTGTAAAGCTTGTTGTGGAGATCGCACACAGATTAAAACCTGGTGCAATGCTGTGTCTCAATGGGGATTGCCATAAACGGATTACCAGATGTGTGTGCCTGGAAATTATATCTAGATTTATGAGTTAAGTTTATTACTGACTATTTATTACTAATTATTTCCTGCAGCTCCTGGGTAATAGAAGTCTTCTAAAAAAGAAGAAGAAAAAAAGCAACTACAGCTCATTTTCTTCTCTTTCATTTCACAAAAGCATAACAACCACAGTGCCCCAGTTAGTATAATGATAAATAATAAAATGAATTATTGTCCGTTTAAAACCATACACAGTTGCAATTTCTATGATGGAAAGGGACACTAATGAATCATTGTATGACAGAGAGATTAACATAAAGCTTAAACGCAAAAAGACTGAATGCAATTTTGTCTTTTTTCATTCTTTTTATGCGTTCAAAAAGCTGGAACTCCATTTCTGCAGTTATTTAACTGCCAACAATTGATACTGCACTATCTAAATTCAGCTCAAATGTAAGCAAAACAGGTTTGAATGGTGAGTGTGTGGTCATTTGTGCATGTGTGTGTGCGGGCAGCGTAAGGTGTCATTGTTCACAGTGCAGGTGACCTTCATGTCCATCCCATCCCTGCTGGATGGTGATTGCTCGCCTAAAAAGCACCTGGTTGGCAGCTCATTTTTCTCCCTTGATTTTCATTCAACAGCACCTCTTCCATTCATCTGGACAAAAAAGGTGGAAACTTACTGACCTTAAAAACAAATACCAAACAATAATGGCAGGTCATTCTTGTGGTTCGGCGTGTTTCACGGTATTGCAGCATGCTTCATATCACCTCCAACTTTATCCACAGTTGTGGGTTGACACAGATACTGGCTTGGGTCAATAAGTTTCACTTTATAACGACTAAATAAGTACTCTCTCATGTGAGTTACTGTACTTTTGCAAACACAATGGAAAAGGTCACAGATCGGCTTTTATTAAGTGTTAATTTATGTCTTTCACTGAGCAGCAGAGCTTTCTAGGTCTCGCATTGTTCTGTATGCTTCCTACCGCTAAGACCAGGTGTCCCAGAAACATTTTTCTTAGAGAAACTCGAGGCAATGAGATACACTGTCTGTCTTGGTCGTTGTGTCCTTGGGCAAGACACTTCA